GTGGTGACAATTCTATCATCTATGTCACTGGTTCTGTGTTCCATCTCTTCAACTCTGTTCATGTGACTCTTCATCATATTGACAGCATCTTAAATACTGGAATTCATATTTTGGATTGTGGTTTGTTTTTCCAGAACCTCTAATGCCACCTTTGTTTTATCTTCATTGTTTTGGATTGTTGTGTTGTTGTTTTTTCAGCTCCTCCTGGTTTTTTATTGCAGTGTCCTGTAATTCTTCAGGTTTGTTTTTTACCCATTGAAATTATTCAATCATTGTCCTTTAAATTCTGTGTCAGAAAGTTTCATAAGACTTTCTGGCTTCAGGAAATCCATTGATACTATGTCACTTTTTTGTGTGTCACATCTTGCTTTGGGCTTGTGTAGGGGGAAAGGTAACCTGCTTCCTATGTGACACTGCTGTGGTAGAGTTTTTCATGCCTGAAGTGATAGCAGGTTCTTGATCTGAAGTCACTGTTCTAGAAGAGAGTGGAGCAGCCACCCTACCTGGGTTTTTATCAGTTTGAAAAATGGACTGTGGAAACAACATCCTCTGTCAGACAATTGTTGCAGCTAGGGTAGCAAAGCTACCCTGGGCTAAACGCAGTTGATGACTGGATGTGAGGATATCCAAGGGGGAGAGCATAGACCTGATTGGAAAACTTGAAGCCTTGATTTTCCCGTCAAGAACGAGGTCCAGTTGTCTCCCTCTCTTCTGATTGAGCTTAAGGTGTCCAACATGATCCAACCAAATAGCAGTGACCCCGCAACAGCCCCCTAGGTACCTCACTCAAGTTCTAGCATTGCTCCCAATGTGTGTCGGCAGCAGTGTTCTTGGTGCAGGCTGGCAGCATCGGGACCTAAGTTCCAGGAACAGGCCGGTGATGTTGGAACTGGAGTTCTGGGCTCACACTCACTCAGATTACAGCATTGCTGCTCACCCTGGCATGTTGCTGCCCGGTACACTGCTCCCCAGCACATGTGTCAGCAGCTCCCCAGTGCATATCTGGCATCAGACAGGAGTTTCCTGGCATAAGCATGGAGAAAGCCAGCAGCATCCCAGTGCATGCATGGCATCAGCAAGCCAAAATATTTTTTTAATTATTAATGCAAAATCTTTATTCTTCAATTTGTCATTTCTGGCATATTAGATCATGATGTTGTTGAGTAACAGAGTCAGAATGGACCTATAGTTGATCCTCGAGTAGGTTTTCAGAGGTAGTTAATCACATGGGAAAAGATTGCCTATCTTTCTCCTGTGGAATAACTGGTGGCCTTGAACCACAAACCTTTGGAATTGCAGCATAGCTTCTTGCAGCTAGGCCTCCAAAGCTCCCTTATTAGATAATGACTGATTAAAAGTGACCAGCATAGTCCACTTCAGACCACTAATAACTAACATGTTGATCTTTATGTGTTCTATTTAATTTTTTTAAACTTCCACTATTCCAATATTCATAACTTATACATTCCCATAATTAATAGGTGTTTAGAGATATGTTTCATTTTGATTGCTAGCACATCAGCAAATGAAGACCTTTCTCTGGATGTATGTTTTAGCCTATCCATGTCATTAAGGTAGACTCTTTTGTTTTTGTCCATTGAGGTTACTGGTAGATTTGAACCTCTGACTTTACATTTAGCAGCCCAACACACAACCAACTGCACAACCAGGTCTCCCTATGGTGATAGCAGGCTTGTCAAAATCTGTATCAACAATAGATTCTTTTATGCAGAACCTTCACCTTCCACAAGATCTTTCACTTCCTTTTCTAAAAACAATATAATCTACTACGCTCATAAAGATGGCAAAATTAATCATCTCTAAATGAAATAAATTTTCTCTCCACCCTGCTAATTTGATAAATTATTCCCTTTCCCCTCTGTTATTAATCATAAAGCATAAGTTTTTAAATAGATATGACTATAGAGGGTTGATATTAAAAATGTTTCATTATCTATTCAATGTAGGACTGTTGTTGTTGTTGTTGTGTACCATCAAATTGGAACCAACCCATAGCTGACCCTTTGGAAGGTTTTCAGAGGCAGTTAACTATAAGGTAGGAGATTCCCCATCCTCCTGCAGAGTGGCTAGTGGCCTCAAACTGCGTGCTTTCGGGACTGCAGTGAAGCTTCCTGACACTAGGCCACCAGAGCTCCATATTGTCCTTTTCTGACTGAGTAGAACTATCAAGTATAATAAGGCAGAGAGCTACTACAGGAATAATGCTTATCTCACTAAAAATACACTATTGTCTACAACTCATTTTTACACAAATTAATAAATAATATCAGTTGATGGGCAGTGTTATATATAAAAGTGATAGAAAATAGGTAGTAGAAATAAGTACTTTTTCTGTAAAACACTTCATAGACTTCATGTACTGTTGAACATACACAAGGTAAAGAAGGAGGTGGAAAAGAATTTCTTTTATCAGTAATCCTAACTTTTTATGGTATGACTCTCAGTAAATAAAGTATGTTCAGTTCAAAGGTGGACCATCTAATTAAAGCAAGAAAAGTAAGGAAGAAATAAACTACATATAGGTCTTGGTAATTTTTTTCTTTTTTCTATGTTTTTTTTTTAATCTAAGAGGGGGGAACAACCATTAAGTCTTTTAACCATCTAGTTAACACTTATTGAACATCTATACAAAGAGGAAATACACAGCTGTACTTAATTCTGAGTTGACAAAAACCAAAACAAACCTACTGCCACAGAATCAACTCTAACTAACAGTGCAGCTCCAGGAGAGAGCAGATATGCCCACTACATTTCCAAGCCTGTAAATATACACTGCACACTATCACCCCTTCTCCCCTGGAATAGCTGGTTGTTTTCAATTGCTCATCTTCTAGTAAGCAGTCAATTTCTACTTTTTAAGTTTTAACTTCTTGTTATGTGCCATAGAGTTGCCTGCAACTCATAGAGACCCTCTGTACAGCAACTCTGAAGCCTACCCTGTCCTGAGCTGTTGTTGTTCTTATGTGCCATCGAGTTGCTTGTGACTGATAGCAACCCTATGTACAAGACACACCTTAGTGCCCAGCCTAACGTTGTTGCTCTTCAGTACTCTTGAGAGGTCCCTCACAGCTGACTTTCCCAACGCAATTCATTTCCTGATTTCCTGGCTGCTGTTACTAAGACTGTTGAATGTGGAATCAAGTAAACTAAAACTGTTAACTATCTCAATCTCTCCACCATCCATACTGATACTGCCAATGGCCCAGTGGTGAGAATCTTTGTTTTCTTGAAGTTGAGCTTCAGTCCATATTGAAGGCTGCAGTCCTTGGCTTCTGCAGCAATCGCTTCAGGTCCTCCTCAGTTTCAGCAAGCAGGGTTGTGTTATCCGCATAAAGGAGCTACTCTCACTAATTCTGACTCACCAACTACCACTGCCTCATTTACTTTATCAATCCGTCTAATCTGGGGGCTTTCTTTTCTGCACTGTTCCTCCATCCTTCTAGGCACGATGTCCTTCTCCAAGGACCAGTTTCTCCTGGCCACATGCCAACAGTATATGGGACAGAGCTTCAAAATCCTAGCCTCCGAGGAGAAACATGGTTTCGCTCTCCCCAGGACAGACCTATTTGTTTTCTTGGCAGTCCATGTTATGTTCAAGACTCTTCTCTAGCATGACTCAAAAGTGTCAATTCTTCTTCAATTATCCTTAGTCATTGTCCATCTCTCTGATGCACAGCAAGTAACTGCGAAAACCAGGGCCTAGATTAGGTGCACCTTAGTCTCTAGACTGACATAGTTGCTCTTCAGCACTCTGGAGAGTTCCCTGATGGAGATTTTCCCAATGCAATTTGCTATATGACCTTAACTATGATAATATGGGTGGAAAACAGCTGTGAGTCAAATCACTTTACTTTCATAATCATCATTGGACAGATGAAAAATAAAAGTTAAAGGAGAGTGTGTAAAGATAAATTTTTATAAATCACAGAATCTTTTTCTGATTAGTTAACTAGTTAAAGAAAGTAAGAATAAAAATGTTGATGTGCAAGAAAACAATCTTACTTTTCTATTTGCAATATTATAGATGTTGAGCTTCTTAAAAGGCCCATTTGCTCCAGTTTGGCACTGTAACCACTAAAGATTTTAAAAGACTGGTACAAAAGTGAATCCCAGAGGCTCAGCCTCCATTGTCAGTTAGCTCCTAATATTTTATAACAGTTGCTCCAATTTATATTTGTTTAATTTCATATTTGGAGCTCTAGTGGTGTGGAGCTCTTGTGGTGTGGCATGTAAGCATTCAACTGCCAATCTAAAGGCCAGTGGTTTAACCTCTTCTACCCGTTCCAAGGGAGAGAAAAAACAGGCCACATGCTCCCACAAAGTCACGAGACTGAAAACCCTATGCCTTAGCTCTACTGTCTCAGAGGTCTCCTGTCTGAGTTATTCAGTGCTACTCTAACACAAAGAAAACAAGTGTGGGAGCTTTCACAAACATAAATTTACTTTCTGCCAGTATGAGGAAGTCTGAAATCAAGATGTTTAAGGCTGGGCATCATTCTTCTCCCTCTCAACTTTTTAGCTTGCTCTTGATCTCTCCTGAATCTCAAAAGAGATGGACTACACTACCAGAGTCTCATTACATACAAAAAGACATCTCCTTCACAGACATTGGAAGAGTCTGGAATATACAGCATTTATTTGGGAGGGGGACAGGTGTTATTTCTTTAATTCCAAACAATAGCTGTGAGTAAAAACTTATTCAGAGGCAGGCATTCAATCACAAAAAAATCAGCTCCACCTTGGAGCAGGTGGGCACTCACGCATGGAGTTACCTTAACAGATAAGCATGTAAGATACTTGTAAAATCAATCAGGTTCCTGATCCAGGACTTTCCAAGAAGGATGGTCATCATCAATAACAATGTTAAGTCTTTGTTGATTAATGGTGATCATGGATTTTAAAGAAAGTGTATTTTACTTGTGTTAAAAATCTTATCTTCAACATAATTTTCTACAATACAATGTGTGTTTATTTCTCAGGTTTGACCTCGGTTCCCAGAAACATTCCATTTGATACTCGAATGCTTGACCTTCAAAACAATAAAATCAAGGAAATAAAAGAAAATGATTTTAAAGGACTCACTTCACTTTATGTAAGAATATTACATTCTTATTTTCAAATATTCAAGTAAATAATATATATCATCACTGACATTAATGGTATTATCTTAGTGTAAGACTTTTATGTTCTTATTTCAAATATTTAAGTAAAATTTGCAGTATCATGATAGACAGTGAAGAGACTGAGATTGTTAATAGCTTCAGTTTCTTTGGCTCCACAATCAACATTCTTGGTACCAGCAGCCAGGAAATCAAAAGACAAATTGCACTAGAGAAAGTCTGCTGTCAGGGATTCTGCCAGAGTAATGAAGAGCAGTGATGTCAGTCTGCATACTAAGGTCTGATCTAGTCCATGGGTTTCACAATTACTACCTTTGCATCAGAAAGCTGGACAATGACTAGGGATGATAGGAGGAGAATTTATGCCTGTGAGTTGTGGTGCTGGAAAAGAGTATTGAATATACCATGGACTGCCAAGAGAATAAACAAGTCTGTCCTGGAGGACTTAAAACCAGGTTGCTCATTGAAAGCAAAGATTTTGAAGTTCTAATTCACATACTTTGGGCATTTTTCCAGGAGGGACTAGACCTTGGAGAAGGACATCATGCTCGGTAATGTGAAAGATCAGCAAAGGAGAGGAAGATCCTGACTGGATGACATGAATTCACACAGTGATTGCAGTAACAGACACAGCATATTGGAGACAGAGATTGGCCCAGGATAGAACAGGGTTCAAAGCTATGCATACATAGTTCATAGGGCTGCTATGAGTTATAGTCAACTACACAGCACATAACAACAACAATGACAATAATTCAATCGAAACAGTAAGCCAATCATTCAAGAGGCTCAATGAGGGAAAATGTGGCATTAGAATGGGAGGAAGACTCATCAACAACCAATGCTATGCAAATGACACAACTTTCTTTGTTGTTGAAGTAAGGATTTGAAGCACAAAGATCAAAGCCTTCAATATGGACATAATCAACATCAAGAAGACAAAAGTCCTCACCACAGCGCCAATATAAATTGCATGATAGATGGAGAAAAGACTGAAACTATCAAGTATTTCATAATGCTTAGATCCACAATCAACACCCTTGGCACGAACAGACAAGAAATCCAAATACATACTGCATTAGCAAAGTCTGTTGTCATCAATCTATGGTCAAATGATTTTTTACAAGGAGATAAAATCAGTTAAGTGAGGAAACTACAGCCTTTTTAACAAATGGTGTTGGAAAAATTGGAACAGTATCTGCAAAAGACTCAAGCAAGATCCACACCTCACTCCATATACAAAAACCAACTCAAGGTGGATCATGGATCTAGGACTAACACCAAGCACTATAAGCTTCCTTAAAGAAAAGCTTGAAAGAATGCTACAAGTCCTAATCTACAACATAAACAGTCTTCGAAGTATCCTGAAAAACCTACAACCAGGAGAAGATAAAATAGATGAATGGGATCTTATAAGAATCAAACCTTATGCACATCCAAAAACTTCTCCAACAGGGTAAAAAGGGAAGCCACAGACTGGGAAAAAGTATTTGGTCATGATATATCAGATAAGGGACTTATATCCAGAATTTATAAAATACTTGAGCACCACAACAAGATAAAGGTAAATAATCCAATAGAAAAATGGGCACAGGATATGAACAGACACTTCACCAAAGAAGATATTCAGATGGCCAACAAGCACATGAAGAAATGTTCAAAATCTCTAGCTCTAAGAGAGATGCAAATTAAACAACTATGAGATATCACCTCACACCAGTCAGAATAGCAAAATTTAACAGAACAGCAAGCAACAAATGCTGGTGAGGTTGTGAAGAAACTGCAACCCTTATTCACTGTTGGTGGGAGTGTAAAATGGTGCAACCACTGTGGAAGGCATTATGGCGCTTTCTCAAAAAGTTGCAAATAGAGATACCATTTGACACAGCAACTCCACTACTGGGAATAAACCCCAAAGAGACCATAACTGACATCCAAGCAGATATATGCACACCCATGTTTATTGTGGCTTTGTTCACAATAGCAAGGAGATGGAAACAACCTAAGTGCCCATCAACAAACAAATGGATAGAGAAGCTGTGGTATATTCACACAATGGAATCCTATGCTGCATTGAAAAACAAGGAACTCATTCAATATTATTCAAAATGGGTGGCCCTGGAGGACATGATGCTGAGTAAAGTATCCCAGTCAAAAAAGGACAAATACTGCATGGTGCCACTGTTGTAAAACAGGACTGACATCAGGTTTTGGGGGAGACTGAGAAAGATGGGTTCAATAATGTATACTGCATTGAAACAGATGAGGGAGAAAACTGTTTAAGAGGGATATTTGATTAGGTATTGTTGTCATGACAGGAGTCCAGAGTGAAGGCTGCACAGTGGAGTGTACCTGGGGGAGGGCTTGTAAAACAATGAAAGAATTTTTCTTTTACTTATCCAAGAGAGGGGAGGGTTGGGAGGGGAGAAAAGTACAACAATGAATGAATAGAAATCCAAAGTCTCTGTAAATTTTCATTGAAATTAATAAAAAAAAATACACCCCCCCCAAAAAAAAAGTCTGTTGTTAAAGTCTGTATCTGAAGCAGAGAGGAGCAATGATGTCAATTTGAAGACTCAAAGTGATTTTGAGCTATGGTCTTTTCAATAGCTTCTTATGCCTCTGAGAGATAATAAATGAAATTAACAAAAGAAGAACTGATGTCTTTGAACTGTGGTATTGGAGAATACTACTAAATATTCCAGGGACTGCCAAAAGAACTGACAGATATATCTTGATACAGCCACAGTGCTCCTTAGAGGGAAAGATGCTGAAGTTACAGTTTACATATTTTGGGTGCATTGTGAAGGGAGGCTATTCTTTAGAAAGCAACATTATACTTGGAAAGATGAAGGGTCAGAGAGAGGTAGACCCTTGGTGAGGTGGATTAACACAGTAACTGTAGCTAAGGGGGACAGTATGTCAGAGATAATGAGGATGTCACAACATAGGACAATGTTCAGATCAGTTCATCAGGTCACTTTGACTGGTACTTGAGTGGATGGTATATAACAGCAACAATATGGTTGGCCAAAAGAACAAACAAGTAGTCTTGAATGAGGTGCAATCAGGGTGCTTCTTAGAGACAAGGACGGTGAAACTTCATCTCACATACTTTTGGCATGTTGTCAAGAGGTGCAGGTCCTTGGAAAAATACATCATGCTTAGAAAACTAGAGAAAAGAAGCCCGTTGGTGACATGCACTGACACAGAGACTGCAATCATGGGCTTGAACATCGTGGAGAGTACAAGAATGACACAGAACAGGGCAAGGCTTCAATCTATTGAATTGTCAATTTGACAGCACCTAACTAAAACAACCTGCAGGGACAACCTAAGCAAGTCACTTCTATTTACTGTGCCTATTTGCTTCTAACGAAAATGTAGTCATTACTTCTGCAATAAAATGGTTCACAAATATCTCTGTGATCTACAAAGTTTTAAAATTTCTCTCCTTTGCTACACTGCAATCCAAGAGGCGCATACATTTCGAATCCATCAGATGTTCTGCAGGAGAAGGAGAAACAATCTCCACCTGTACCAGTCAGATCCAATTCGATGGTACACACAGAGAAAATAATAAAATAAAATTAAAAAATTTTAAATTCCTCCCCTTTACTTTCTTATATAACCAGAGGAAAGTAGAACGAACTCTTAAATTATATTAAACATTAAGTATATTTTTACGAGACTTGGTAGCTAGTCTCAGGTGTAATTTATTTTTAACAGTGTTATATCTAAAAGAAGGATAAGAAAGAATGCCGAAAAGGGTCTAGGTTGAGCTAAAGAAACAGTAAAAAGGACTTTTAGCTTAAATACAAAGTGTTTTATTTCTTCAGAGGGGGGAAAATATTAACTTGGAATAATGGTAGTATATTGTTGTTGTTATGTGCTGTTGAGTCGTTTGCGACTCATAGCGACCCTATGTACAATAGCCCTAAACCCTGCTCTATCCTGTGCCAATTGCATTGCCTCTGACACACCCATCCCGATTACTACAGTCACTGAATCAAACCACCTCACAGAGGGTCTTCCCCTCCTGTGCTGTCCCTC